GATGCCGAATGAGTTCTTTTGAGTAGAGTTGGCTTTAGCGCCTATGACGGATAAAATGAGAGAAAAAGACTGCGGTTGTTTGGGCACTTTCACACGAGCCCAATGTTAGTGCCAATGAGGAGGGTGGATAGGTGAGGGTAAGAGTTGCATGGTGATGTTTAAGATGATATATGTTTAAAATTTTGCAGTTCTCTCCTTGGGAATCGTTTAACTGGATCAATCCCAAAGGAACTCGGATATATTACCACACTCATAACTCTGTAAACTTCTAATAATCTGTTATTTCTTTTAATTTACATATAACTTTTGTAACTTATGTTTGTTGTTTATGGCTTCAATTCTATTTTTCATTAGCACTGTAGAGGACAATCAGCTGTCTGGAAGAATTCCTGAGGAACTTGGGAGCCTTTCAAGAATCGAGAGATTGTAAGACTTCATGAAAAATCTGTTGATATTGTTGTTGATGCCTTCTATATCTCATTTACTCGACCATGTTTATAAGTGTTCATTTTTTATTGTAGATTTCTGAACTCCAACAATTTTACTGGGGAGTTGCCTATTTCGTTTGCAAATCTGATCACAATGAAGGAATTGTGAGTTGTACCTTGTTGGATTTGGTTATTATTAATTTGGCCTTACGTAAGTAACCATTTTATTTCTATTTCCTTGGCAGTCGGATTGGTGGTAACAGTTTATCTGGGAAGATCCCCGATTTTATAGGGGAATGGACACAACTCACGAACTTGTGAGAAATTTGCCTATTGTTTCATTTTCCACTTGTTGTGTATAGCATTCCAATATGAAATTGGTACCWACTTAGCATTCACATTAGACTATGCATTACAACGCTAATTAATGTTCATCACACGTCACACCACAAAAAAAAAATTATATATATTTTTAACCTTGGTTTTCAAAATTATATATATATGCATACAATAATTTTATTATATTATACAATATTTAACAACTTATTATCATATATGTACCATTTATTGCTACGCTTGAATTTTATGGAACTAATTCATAACCAACATAAAATCCTCTTGCTTGCTTAAAACACATTAATTAGTAAAAGCGAGAGTGACAGAATGTAGATGCATCATGCTGCATTGCACGTATATATTTAGGAGTGTA